GGGGCATGCAGGGCACACAGGACATGCAGGGCACACAGGACATGCAGGGCACGAGGGGACATGCAGAGCACACAGGGCATACAGGGCATGAGGGGACACGCAGGGCACACGGGACATTCAGGGCACACGGGACATGCAGGGCACGAGGGGACATGCAGAGCACACAGGGCATACAGGGCATGAGGGGACATGCAGGGCACACGGGGACATGCAGGGCAGCTCCCCTGATTTGGCCTGTTCTTGTGAAGAAGGGCAGATTCACATAAACACTGCCTGTAGCAGTTTTCAGGTGGTGCCACGTGTCAAAGTTAAGGCCCACCACATGGGTTGCTCAGAAGAACATTACATTCCAACAAGATCCTGAATTGTATTCCCTTCACCTGTCAGTGCCTTTAATGTTGTGGCTAATCAATGTTAATAAAAGTCGCTCTGTCATTGGTTCATTTTGTCTACATCTCTTTGCTGTAGTTTGAGTTTAGGTGGTGATTTTCTTCTGACGTGTGATTGTCTTCCAGGTTTTCCTACAGCACCTCTCTCCTCTGCTGTCCCTGCCCACCTTTGCTGCCCTCTGGCTCACCATTTTGGACTTCATGGATAAGTACATGCATGCTGGATCAAGTGACTTGTTGGTAAGGAGAATATAATTCTTGTGTCCACATTAACAAAATGCCATGGTAGTTATGACTGTCACTATGAGAGAAAGGTGTGTGTAGACTGTGTTGCCTGTGTGTTCGTGTAGTTGGAAGCCATCCCCGAGTCTTTGAAGAACATGCTGCTGGTTATGGACACAGCAGGCATCTTCCACAGTGCTGACTCTAGGACAGGATACTCTGACCTGTGGGAAATAACTTGGGAAAGAATCGTCTGTTTCCTGCCTTTATTGAGGGAGGAGCTCTTCAAACAGACTATCATACCAGGTGTGACGCACTGACATGACAACCTGTAAATTTGAGCTTGTACCATCACCAGTTTTACCTGGTGTATCATCTTTCATTTTAGATGCAGTACCTAATCCTCAAGCAGAGTCGGTGCAGCTGACAACCCCAGCAGGCCGGCCCCCATCGCCTCAGGTGTCTCCACCTCCCATGCAAACACCCGCCCAAGCCCCAGCAAACTCCACAGTGGCTCAAAGCTCCAGCAGGCCGGCCTCACCACTGGAGCCTCCACCCGCCAGTGCCAACGGTAAAACGTCTGAAACGTTCCTCTGTTATAGCACAGTGTGATCTCCGTCAGGGGACAAATACATGTAGGATATTATCATATATATATATGATATATATGATATATATATATATATATATATCATATATATCATTTGTTTAACGGCAGATGGATAATATGGCAAAACTTTTAAATGGTCTAAATGACCGTCTGTGTGTAAGTGGAAACCTGATGTTAGAAAACCCATGGGGCCGAATGGCTCAGCCGCTGTTCAGCTGAGGTCATGAGTGGCCTACCACTAACTGTGGAATATTTAGCAGTGAGACTGGATGACTGGACTCGTTGCACGAATAGCATCCTACCACAGTAGGAATTCACCCATTCTTACACACATGGTTGTAAAAGCAGTCTGCATGGAAACAACGTGGCGTGTTACTGTCAGTGTTAATAGTAGTGTGTGAAACCTGAGGGGAATCCTTGCTGCTTCTGCAGGCGGGTAATTAGCAGCCAGGTGTATCCAAGTCAGAAATGTTGCAGTCTGCAGGATTCATGCTTGTGGTAACCCAATGCCAAGTATATATGAGTCTTAAAGAAGTAGTTGTTACGGCCCATCACAGATTCATGGCCATATTAAGTCATTTCCATCAGAAACATTCAGGACTGTCAGTTTTTGTAGCCGTGGATCAGCACATTCAAGGTCAGAGCATGCATGCTCCAAAGACTGCAAGGAAAACAAACTGCTCCAAGTGAGACTGTAGGCCTCATGTTGCAGGCTGATGACTGATGTAGAGCAGAGACTGAATCACTGTTCTCTCGTTTTGTGTTCCAGGATCAGGCCGATCATCTCCGGTCCCCCCCTCCATTCCTCCCATGCCAGTGCCATTAACAACCTCTGCTGTCCAGGGTCCTTCACCTTTAGGCCAGTCCCCCCTCATTCTGCAGCCCCTTGCTTCTCCTCTGCAGGTGGGAGTCCCACCCATGTCCCTGCCAATCATTCTTAATCCCGCCCTCATAGAGGCCACATCCCCTGTACCGCTGCTTCCTGCTCCCAGATCGACAACTCCCTCCGACGAGGTGCAGTAAAGTCCAGCCGCCCCCCAGCCATGCTGCTCTCTCCTCAACAACTGGAGGAGCTGCAGCTTAAGATGGGGCATGGAGTAGGACCACATTTAAAGGAGAAATCCTCCAGAATGCAAACCTGGTGATAAAAACTCAGCACTGATGTTATTGTAGGAAAACCCAACAGGTGAAGGTTTGGTTTAGAAACCACGCGCAGTCTTTGAGAGGTTAGTGCGACCCACTGAGAGCGATTTTCAGCAGCGTTCACCGTGCATTTATTTTAAGTCAGGAGTAATTTTAAACCCACAGATCGAACTTATTGATATATATTTGTGTTTTTGACTGTTGTAAGTCTGTAAATGGATGAACAACACAGCGTGTTAGTTGTTCTCTTTGAACTCGGTGGTGATGGGTTCAGAAAGCTGACGTTGATTACTATTTATTGTTTTTAAAATAAATAGTAGAGATGTGTTAAGGTTTCTAAGAGGTTTGTAGTGCCAATGATGGTCTGCTCGAGTTGTGACACACACAGTGTCAGGGGTCAGCCTGTGCCTCGCTGCTTTGTTTTACATAAGAATGGAGCCGTACAGACCACGCTGCACATCCTGTATATTTGACACACACGCTGCTCATTCAGTGCCAGACGGTGTCGTTTGGCTCTGGATATCAGCAAACACAGCCCCGTCGTGTAAATAGCTTCTGAGTGAAGTGTTTTCATTGCCCCACCTCGTCGTCAGGATTCATGTTGGGAGGAATGAAAACATTTCATCTAGACTGAGTTATGTTTTACACCAGAAACACCTGCAGGAGTCCTCTCTTTGCCCCGAGCTGAACTCATAGCTTTGCTCATGTCTGTGCTTCACAACAAAGATAAGAAGGACAGCGAGTTGTGAGGATTATATGATCTGCATGTTTTAGATTCCCAGAGCCTTGGCTACAGTCTGATGTTGCAGAAGGCATGACAACATCAGCAAGTTCGATTCATCGTTTTGCCCCAAGCTTGCACCTCCTAACCTTCAACGAGCAGCCAGATGAGGCGTAAACATTCCAGTGTCGGTCTGTAGCGAGCGCGCTCTGCACTGCTCTGGTACATGATGCATGAGGAAGAGTCTGAGAGGAGCTCGCCACGCTGTCACGCCACCTTCTCCTGACTTGCATCTTTGATTTGACAGACGGAACATCTGAAGTTTGCAGCCTCGTAGCAGAGAGGAATCACACATGTAGGCCGCTGGTTTTCTTGTTCTCCTTTATTTATCCAGGTAAAAGGCTCACTGAGATTACAGTCTCTTCTCTAGAGAGAGGTTGCCAACAGAAGTTAAAACATTTCCACAACACGTCCTCAGTTTGAGTCAGCTGCTCCTCTTTGCTTCCATACATGTGCTGACTCACTGGTTAAATGACCATCTGATGTCAAACTGACTGGAAACCATTCGCAGCAGTCCTTCTCTCACTGGTGTTTTGTGTTATTTATTGAAATGGACCGAGCTGCAGTACGATGGCATAGATGCAGTGTACGTGTGTCAGGTAACACTACGGCCTTATAGAGCCCCCAACATGTAAGCTGTTTATTTGTTGGATGGCATCGTAGATTTATCAGAAGCTGATTGTGACTTGAACAGGAAATTCCGTGAATATAATGTCTAATGTATATAAATGAAAGGTAATGTACTTTTTACTATGTAATAAATATGTTGTAAGAAAGTGCTCCTCCTGCTGTCTGCTTATGTTTTCATTCTGAATGTAGACTTTTCTCAACTGATGTCATGTTAAGAACACGGAGAAATACTCTTAATGAAGGGATTAAGCAAAAACAACACATTCGGTATCGATCACATCAATCACTACGGCCGTCTTCTCTGTTTGTCTGCCACCACTATATGCGGTTGGTTAGCCATCACCATTTTGTCCGTCTGTATCTGGAAGTCCCACAGGATCTTAGCTCGGTCATTCTCCACCACCCTGGTGGCGTCTCCCAGTTTGACCTCAGTACTTCCAGGCCACACTCGGCACAGATGTTCCTGTACACTATGCCGGCCACTTGGTTATGGCGTTCCATGTATGTCCTGCCTGCTAGCATCTTGCAGCCTGCTGTTATGTGCTGGATTGTCTCAGGGGCATCTTTACACAGCCTGGGGTCTTACCTGGTGTGGTGTGTCTCACATTTTTAATATGTTGCAATACAACTGGGATAACTAACATATAACATTATTGTGTGTGTATTAGGGCTGCCACAAACGATTGTTTTGATAGTCGGACTAGTCACCGGTTATTTTTGTGATTAGTC